TTTTGCATACAGAGATGAATGTGTCAGGGTGTTGCTTGCTTGTAATTTGGGAATGGGCTTGGGTATTCTGTAGTTCTGTCAGTGTAAGGTCAGTGTAAGGTCTGAATGTAGCCACAGATGTAGTCTAGTAAAGAAAGTTGTAACCAGCTCTGTCTGTGTAGAACTTAGTTTTAGTAAGGGACATCTCTGGCAAAGCTTATGGGTGCATGATACTGTATCTTGCTCTTGTTGAAAGCAACTAAGGTTGGGACCTGATTAGGTGCAGATTTCTTTAATATTTTGCAAACTTTCTTATCAGGCATGAATTATTCCAGAATTGTTTTAATTTCATGTGACTTATCATAGCCAGAGAATACCTGTCCTTGTTAATACAAATTGTATCTTTTTAACTTATATTCAGAGATGTTTATATACATATGATCTATGAAAAGTATATTTACACACAAAGTTATGTACAATAGGTAGTACATGTATAAATTAATAAATATTTTGGGCAACATTTTATTATAAAGATAACTGGTTCAGGTTGAGGGAGAGGAAGAGCATTAAATGCTTTTAAAATGAAGTGACAGTAATTAGGGAGTTAATTTATTTTATTTTATAGCAAAAGTATTTACAATCTTATTTTTTAATTAAAAAATGGGGTTATTGGAGTAAACTGGGGCAGGATTTGAGCAATTTAAAACTTTTTTAACCCTTATGTTGTGTTGGGGTCAATTTGACTCACACTTGATTGACAGCTTGAAATACTGGTTAAACTATTTACTTCTTGAAATTTTGTGATTATTTCTCATTTAGGGTCATGAATGTGCATGCAAAGTTTCAACACAGAGATGTTTTGGAAAGGCTGTAAAAAATATTTACAACTTTCGTGACGTCCATTGGTTTCCATACAATTTGCCAAAAATCAGACTCAAAGTTTAAGACTCAAGACTCAAAAGTTTATTTAAAATTGAGACTCGCCTTCTGGTTCATCTAAAGAAAATTCACTGTTTCTTCATGGAAGAAAAGATCTGTGTAAGGATGTTTCTGGTTAAGTTTTTAATCTCAATTACTAGACTGTTGCAGCACTGAATAGAAGCAGAGACACCTATTTTACCCTCACAAGGGTTTGAGAAAAAGACAACAAAAAGGCAGTGGAGGAAAAAAATGGCAATAATTAGTACAAATAATGTAGATACTATGTATACTTATGTGCACCTCACTGTACAAATAGTCACTACAAGTAGTCATGAATAGTCATGAGCAAAAAAAAAAAGTACATAAAAAAATTTTGGACATAAAAATAAGTGCGTAAATTTTGACCCCAACACAGTTGTACCCAGTTTTTGTATAGAACATGAGGGTAAAACAGTTCTGATCATACATGCTATTAATTCTGGCCTTTCTCTGTTAAACCTTTTTACATCTGAAACCTAAATTCAGACCTTTTTTTTCCTCATAATTTTTTACAGAAACTATGAAGAAACTATCATTTTTTATGCATTTAAGAGGGACTGAGTTTAAAGGAAAGAAATTAGCTGTTAAGCTGTGGTGATAAAATACTGCCTGAAATATGTTTGTTATGGGAACACCTTTTATTTTGAAACAAGAAGAGCCTTCCCCTTGGCCTTGTGGCACTGTGTGCCATTCTTGGCAGTGGTGTGAGCATAGAGTATTTGCCTCTACATGTCATTGTGCTTAAGACACAGCTGAATAATCTGAACCATGTTCAGCCAACAAGTTTTCAATTAGATAAGATGTTGTTAACAGGTTTCTTTTCTTTTTTGGGGGGGTGGGTTACTTACTATCAATGTACTTGAAAGTATCACAGATGCTTCTGTGTACCTTGTATGTTACCTTTAGTATTGACTATGTTTAAGTGTGGATAATGTTCTATAACAGCATGTAGTTCAACAGACTGATTGTGCTTTTGGTCTTTATCATTAAAATACACATTTGGCAGGGATGCTTTATAAAGTTAGACAAGTATTAATGACAAGTTGTTTGATGTTGTGCATTCACTGATGATTGCTTTCCGCAATATTGTAATGCTACTATCATCATTTTAATGGCCACTGCCAATGATGCTTTAGTTGTTCAAAGCAGTTTATTACAAAGAGTAATAAATATGTGGTGGTAAATATGTGACTTGTTCAATAATGTTATGGATTTTGTGTTTGCCATTATCTCCAAAATATGTATCTTTTATCAAAATAAAAGCTACAAAGAAAAACTTAAGTTGCCCTTTTCTTATTAACCATATTGTCCTTTTTTGACTTTAGAGTGTTATATTTGTTTAAAGTTGCTGAAAGCAAGAAACATTTGATCTATACGTGTTAACCTTTCATGGTTCTTCCTATGGTTTAAAATCTCAGATGCATCATGCAAAGTATGCATCAAAACTACAATGAATATTTGGGTCATAGAAATACTGTACTATTTAGAGCTGTTTAGACATGCATACTGGAATTACATAAACAGAAAAAAAACAATAAATGAATGGCATGAAAATAAGCAGAAAATAAATATTCAATCTTTATTTTCAACCAAATAATTAGTCACAGCCAACATGACAATTTCTTTGTAACAGAATGCTATATGAACAAAAAGAAAAAAAACAAACAAAACAAAAAACAACATACAACAAAAACAAATATGAAAAGGAAAAAGCAAACGAATACACACTGTGACCTTGAGTGTTTATTTCTCTCCTCATTATAGTAAATGCAAATTCTGGTGGTGCAGTTTCAGAAAGCTTTAAGGAAAAAAAAGTGGAAGCACAACATTTATCTTTCTATGGCAAACACATCCGCTCATGGACACCTGCCTTGGGAAGAAAAAAAGCAGGACAAAACAAGTGCTTTTAAACTTTCCTGAACATTCTGGTATGAAGGTAAGGTTCAAACATTTTTATGATAGCATAAAAAAACACCAAATAAACAGTGATGTCTTTGCAAAATAAAATTCCAGGTATTAATCAAAATAGTCCTGTGAATAAGCTTCACTAAGGTGAGCCTTTCAAAGGACCACATAAAAAATGGAAAAAAAAAATGAAAAGGGATAGACTACTTTATTGGCCTACATATCTGTATCTGCTGAAGATATTTTATCATACAAAATGTGAAATAAAAGACATACAGGCCATGAATACTGAGGATTACTGGGTTTCAACTGCAATAGAGCACACATACCAGCTGAGCAGAGAAAATATTGCATGGTGAAAAAGACTGGAGAAATCCATAGGTCCAAGACCTGTTAACAATTTTGAAAAGGTGGATGTAAAAAAAAAAAAAAAAAAGGGTTCTGGGTGGGTAAAATCTTGAGAGAAGACTCATCAAGAACAAGAATGGGTAAAAAGAACCGTGGGACATTCTAAACAGGCTTCATTATGGGTCAGTCAACACACTGCAGTAGGACCAGATGCCACAAAATTTGTGACCCTGGACCACAAAACCAGTCATAAGGGTCAATTTTTCGAAATTGAGATTTATACATCATCTGAAAGCTGAATAAATAAGCTTTCCATTGGTAAACATATACGTTTTAAAGGCTTTTATTGGCAAAAAAATATATAATGAGTCAATGTTTAGTGTTGACCCTTGTTCTTCATAACCTCTGCAATTCGCTCTGACTGCCAAAACTTTTGGCCACGACTGTACAATGTATTTTTGGCTATTGCTACAAATATACCCCAGCGACTTAAGACTGGTTTTGTGGTCCAGGGTCACATTTGTCATAACTGTTTTCGTAACAGATGAATAAGAATAAAATACTGACAAGATAGCTTTGGTATCAAATTGCAGTTTTTCTTGAGGATGAATTAGCCACATATCTATCTTAGTGCTGCTAAATATAACAAAACTTCATACCACCCTGACCAGCCAAAGCATCATTGTAAGAGTAAATCTGCCTACAGTTAACTTCACAAGAGATGCTCAAAAACAACAAACGCAAACAGCAATATTATGATTTAGGTGACACAAACTCAAAAAGAAGAAAATGACAACATTTGCCTCTCTCTGCCGTACACCAAGTGTTTGACTAAACAGTCACCATGTTTGACAGTAATGAGGTAGCGATTCGTCCTGAGAACAGAACTGATGTTTGCATATGCTCCCCAGCCAGAAAGGCCACGGGTATTGCAAAAAACCACATGTGCATGCAGGTGTACTAATACATTCACACAAAAATGAAAAAAAAAAAACAGATAGAAAACAGAGAGACAAAGCGCACACATGCACACAACTTTCCATTTATTCAGCAAATTCAATTCCTTAAGCAGTTTCCCCATAATTAAATTGAACTTCCCAATTAAATCACAATCACAAGGTCACTAAAACAAGCAGTTTGTCTGTCTGTTCATCTGTCAGCCCTGGCCTTTGTGAGCCGGCAGACAGTGAAAACCATCGATATGGAGACTGGACAAGAAACACTGGGTGTTTGGGAGAATTCTACTGTCGAGGTCAAATGACCCAACACAAGCGCTCCATCACAGGGCTTCTATCACATTCTGTCAGCTCAGAGCTACATCTTTTGAACCTGAATTAAACATTGTCTTGCACTGAAGAAATAAAATTAGTAACAAAGGTCTTGTCCAGTCTAAATCCACAGTAATTATGGATATATGCACGGTTTGCACATGGCTAGCAAGAGTGATAGCCTCCCTTTGGTTATCCAGTTTAGGTTACGGTTCACATTCATTCAAAAGACAGGTGCCTCTGTTCCTAAATTCTTCACTTGATTTTAGGGGCTCTGAATTTGATTTCATGACAGGGTTTGGTGTGGAGAGGTGCTATTTGTGCTCTTCAGGGTATGTGGATGTGGCACTGTGATTCTTAAGTTGCACACAACTTTCACATGACCCTGAAAAGGACTTTCCTTCCAAACCTTGACTTGTTAACCTACTTAACCAAAATGGAGTAAACAAAATGGGTGAAAGAAGAAAAATGCTGTTTTACACATTTTGAGCATGCAGCTGCAGCCAAATAACAGAAAACAAACAAAAAAACAAATGGCCATTTAATAAAAAAAGATTTTTGCTTAAACTCATTTCAGGCTCTTCTAAAATACATATTTCCAAGCATTTAAAGTAAATCAAAATCATCATTCAAGAGTTTGGTACGATGCACCACTTGCTCCTAACTGGGCGAATCTGGAGTAGGGCTATGAGGAGCTCAATACGTGGAAACAGCCAGATGGGCTGATCACAGGCGGAGAGAGCTTTGGCAGAGTTTGAGGGAGTGGCAGCCATGTCCCTCAAGCCTCTCTATAGGGGTCAAAGGTCAAGGATCATTGGTCTATAGGAGAGGTATGGGCAGGCAAAAGCTGAGCTTGTAAGCCAGCCATCAAGGCATTAGGGCTACAGGGTGGAAATTGGGGTGATCAAAGAGGATGTACAGCCATCACATGGACTCAAACTCATCGATACGCTGCTTGGTGTTGCCTTGGCGGATCTGGCGTAGGGTCTTGTATTTATCCCGGCCAGCCTTCACATTCTCTGCATGCAAAACATCATTTTGGGTGTTCTTGGAATCGTCACGGGCCTGGGCCAATTCTGAGCTCAAGGCCTGCAATGAAGATGATGTGTAAGCTATGCAGGTATTTAATATTATCTATTGGTATTTATTTTACATCACAACAGCATAAAGGTCCATTCATACCAAGAGCCAAACCGATAACTATAAGTACAACGATAACTACTGTATATCTGCATCCAAACCAGCGAACGATAACTCTGAAAATGCAGCACACAAGCTTAGAATAAACAAAGTAACTAAATTGGGTGGCTGTTTAGAGAGTTATTGTCTTTTAAAGACAAATTTTATTCATTCTTCTGTATGTGTATGTGTCAGTTTTTGCTGTTCTTGTTGCATTTACACGACTTTAACCAGTAGATGTCCTCAGCATGCTACGTTTCGAGCGCATCTATACAGTGAATCTAGCTAGTGTAATCTATCTGCGAATTTAGCCAACTCAGTCAATGTAGTGCAATAAAACTACATTCGTAGTCTTTTCTACTGCAACTTCAAAGGAGGCATGACAATGTTGTCGAAACTAGCGCTGAGGAATTTTATATTCCTCTGTTTGCTGTGTAGAGCTTCTCTGCAATGGCATCTTCTATTTTAAATGCACAAGCCTTTTAAATTTGAATGAAGTCTGATTAGCTGTCAATGTTTTATCGTTCATCAGCTGTAAAAAAATCTTTCTGAAAGTGATCCCAACGATCTATTAAATTTAAAATAATTTTTTAGAAAGTTATCTTTATAGTTATATAGTTATCGTTCTTGGTGTGAACGGGCCTTAACTCTCCAAAAACATGTATGCATGCAGATGGCCTAACCTGTAGCTGTTTTTTGACACGTTCATTCTTCTGGGTCTCTGTGAGCCTTTCTTCCTCACTTCGTTGGTGAGCAACTCCATCATTAGAGAGCTCAGCACTGGCTTCTGCACTGCTCTCGTCATGCTCGTCATGTTCGTTCTCAGCTGCACCACCCGCTGTAGCCGACATCACCGACTTCAGCTCCTCTTTGGTTTTTTCCAAATCTTCCTGAGCAGACAATGCCTACAAGGATAAGTGAAAAATGCATCGATAAGCAAACATACAGCTTCAACCGGAATACTGGCTCTTTACCCAAGAGGCAGACAGTTAATGACAGTCTAATTAATTTATCAGACAAAACACAATGTTAAAGGAATAGTTCAGCCAAAAATTAAAATGTGCTAAAAATGTACTCAACCCTCAGGCCATTCAAGTTTTTTCTTCACTGGAATATATTTGGAGAAATTTAACATTACATCACTTGCTCACCAATGGATCTTCTGCAGTGAATGGGTGCTGTCAGAATGAGGGTCCAAACAGCTGATAAAAACACACAATCCACATAACTTCAGTCCATCAATTAGAATTGTTTTGGCATGTAAATGGTGCTTGTGCTGTGCACATTTCTCTCCTGATTCAGACAAGATAACTTTTTCATTGGAGAAAGTGTTATTACGGATTATGGACTCAGAAACAGAACGCCAGAAACAATGATTGACAGTTAAAACGCTTTAATGATGGATTTCTTTCTTACAAATGCAGCTTTTCACTTCACAAGACATTAACTGATGGACTGGAGTCATGTGGATTACTTGTGGATTATTGTAATATTTTTATCAGCTGTTTGGACTCTCATTCTGATGGCATCCATTTACTGCAGAGGATCTATTGGTGAGAAAGTGATGTAAGGCTAAATTAAGTTATCAGGCACAAGTTACTTTTATCTGGTTGCAGGTATCACATAAAACCCCGTTTACAGGTTTTAGATAATGGACAAAACTAGAATTGATTTTGGATACCAGACAAAACTGATATTTCTTCTGGCAAGAGACTGATCCAATATTCCTGATGTGTCGGAAGGATCTAACATTTTTGGTGTTATCAATCTAACATGCACATAAATATTATTTTCTACATTCATTCTGACTCTGCCTGAAATGCTCCATTTTAGTTGCTGCAGCTCATTTCCTGTTTGTAAATGGCTAAAGTCATTTCATAAGAACACTTACCAAAGCCCCCAGCTATAGCATTTGAGATTTTGAAAACCATAGAAAACCATAATTTACAGATATGTATTTACTTGCACTTTGTGATGTAACAAACATATAATCAAACAAACATATTCCTCAGATGCAATCTAGGATGTTAAAAATAAACCATCAATTCTTTCCTAATACTGGGGGCCCTTCATAAGGCTATGTAGAGACACAGATGAGCTGTTGAATTCTGATGCATCAAAGCAAAAAGATCACCACCTTTCCTCATCCATATGTCTTATCAGGAGTAGCTCAAGCACACCGATCATGTCAGAGGTGTATTTTACATGTGATGTAGAAGTAGACGTGTATCTTGGAAACATTACAGAAACAGTACCTAGAAGTAATCAGTGCTTGGTTAAGATACTTCTTGTAGCAGGGAGAAAGGCCATTACCAGGAATTGGCTTAAAGCTGACCCCCCTTGTTGTAGTCAATGGCTTGATATTATAGAGGAAAATAAAGAAAAATAATTTAGAATAATAGACTAATTGACTATATATATGCTCTCCCCACAGGCTTGGTTACAATTGTATTGTTATTTTCTTACTGTTAGTGTTTATATATATATATATATATATACATACACGTGTGTGTCTCCTCTATTGTCAATGGAGGATGGAGATGAGAGGAGATTTGGGGCAGCCTATCAAATAGTATTAGTCATTATTGCATAGATTCCTAATGAACGAGTAAAATACAAAGAAAAGGGTTAACTAGAAAAATCAGTGTCAGAATAAAAATGAAAAATGGACAAACAACCAATTTGCAGGGCAACCTAAATGCAAGGTCATAATAAAATAGAATCAGATAAGAAGTTAACTTAAATTACATTTCTTTGCGCACTGAAAAGACCAAACATGCAGGAAACCTTCAGCCACCATTGGATACCTTCGTTGGGCCAATTGGGTGGACTTTACACCTGTGTGACATCACAAATACCACAACATTCAAATAATATATATAGTTTTAAAAAATCTTAGTTAACTACTTTTTTTTTGTACTGAGGAGGACATTTTAAGCTATGAAACTGGCAGGATGTTTTAATTGTACAATGACTGACCTCTTACATGTTGAAAGATCAAAGAAATTTCATTTGTCATGTCATGACCCCAAAAGTCAAAAGTCAACTCAAAACATGAATGTGGATGCGACACCTACTGACAGTCTTGCACAACTAAACTAAACTAAAGAGAGCACTGAGAACCCAACCCATCCAGAGCAATTGAAGAATTCAGATGCAAAAGCCTCTAAGAGCCGTCTGAAATTTTCATCTAAAATTAGCATTTTTATCAGGCTCCTATGCTTAGGTTCAGTAATTCTAAATTAATGGCAATGTATAGGTCTTTTTCTATGCCAGTAAAGTGAAATATTTAAACATAAATACAGGAGCCTCATAAAAATGCTCATTTAAGATGAAAATTTCAGACGCACTTAGAGGCTTTTGCATCTGAACTCTTCAATTGGTTTCACTGGATTCCAAAACCACAAAAACATCCAAATTAAAGAACAGCTTCTTTCCATCATCTATGATAAATTGCATATTCCTGTACACATAACTCCCCCACCAAATTTGAAGAATCTTAATCTGTTGGTCTTCATCAAGTCTTTCCTAATAGAACCAACACTGGGGGTCAGATCTGGATTGGAAATCCCCCGAAATTGTTTCAACAGCACCATTTCATGAAAATTATTTCACCATGTGGACAATTTGCTTCACATATATGAAGTATGTATAAAATGTGTATGTGTATATTACTTTATGCTGCCATTCTGTTGCCTCATCTTCCTTTTTCCTCTTGGCATCCTCCAGTAGGGCAATTTTGGCAGTAAATTCTCCCAACTCAGCTGCCTGCAAAAACAAAGCAGAGCACTGTTACCGCATCCACACAGACAGAACACACAGATATGACACACACACACACACACACACACACACATTTCAGTACAAGCCCCATGCAACACCAATCTTAAACATGTATTTGCCTCTATGTGTGGTACATACAATCTCAGACATCAAATAAATAAAACAACATCCTAATTCACTGACATAATGATAATGAGCAACAGAGATATCAATTATCATAAGTCAGAAGTACAAGTACGTACAAGCCAAGTACGTCTACACACACAAGGAATTTGTCTTGGCGACAGGAGCTTCCAGTGCAGAAGAAAGTACAGACATAGTGCATGCAAACATACATGATAGAGCAGAAATTCATAGGAATTACACAGTAGAGATGAAATATAACACTAACATAAGAAAAACAGAACATTTAATAATGCAATATAATACAGAAGTAGAAATGTATAAAGAAAACATATATAATTGCTTTAATGAATATACAGATATTGTTTACAAGTATACAGTTTATGTAGTTTACAAATGTACAATTTTCAGTTGCTACGTATAAATGTGTCAGTTATAATGGACAATGTATAGTTCTGAAAGTTTTAATTGTTCAGGCTGAATAAAAAATAAAAAAAAACTGTTCTTGTGCCTGGCTGTTCTCGTGGTCGGTGCTCAGTAGCGCTGACCTGAGGGCAACAGTTGAAAGAGAGAGTGAGCTGGGTGTGTGGGGTCCAAAGTGATTTTCTTAGCCCTTTTACTCACTCTGGAGGTATAAAGATCTTGGAGGTTGGGCAGGGGGAACCAATAATCTTCTCAGCAGTCCTGACTGTCTGTTGTAGTCTCTTGATGTCTGATTTGGTAGCTGAACCAAACTAGATAGTTATGGATGAACACAGGACGGACTCGATGGCCAAGTAGAACTGTTTCAGCAGCTCTTCTGGCAGGTTAAATTTCCTCAGTTTGGCGAAGGAAGTACAACCTCTGCTGGGCCTTTTTAGTAATGGAGTCTATGGAGTGTCCCACTTCAGGTCCTGAGAGATGGTGGTGCCCAGGAACCTGAATGACTCTAATGCAGCCACAGTGCTGTCCATGACAGTGAGTGGTGGGAGTGCAGGGGGGGCTTTCAATAAATGGGCCTCAGCCGATCGTTACACCTGGGGGGTGTTCCAATAGCATCAGCTACTAATGCACCTCCTTCCCTATTCAGGGAACCAAGGTAAAATGCCGAACCTAGACGTTCTCAAAAGGTTTTATACATCTCTCGGCAATGTATCCATCTGTACCAGGGGTATTGTTAGTTTTTAATCTTTTTTTAATTATTATTATTATGCAAACAGATATACAATTTACCTGTGACAAATGAAATACAAAATAACCAAGGTCAACAAAACATACATGACAGCCAACATGATTTGTGTGTGTGTGTGTATGGGTATATATATATATATATATATATATATATGTGTGTGTGTGTGTGTGTGTGTGTGTATATATATATAT